GGTTTAGGGTTTAGGGTCTGGGGCCTAGGCTTTGGAGTTTAGGGTCTAGGGTCTAGGATTTAGGGTTTAGGGTTTAGGATATAGAAGCCTAAAGATTTTCCTACATTATTCCTTAGGTTCCTAATAAGAAATTATACTATGAAGGAGCCCAAGACCTCTATTCTCATTACTAAGGCCCCTACATTAGGAGTAGGGTTTTATAACCCTAAACCCTTATAGAACTCTTAGAGGTCATGGTTGAGGGATTTTGAGTTCATCATGCGGGACTTTGAGTTGTGCAGCTGACGGCGTTTGAAGTTTGGGCTTCGGAGTTTAGAGTGTAGAGTCTTAGGGGGTTTAGGGTCTTAGGGTTTATATGGTCTTTGGGTTGTTGCGGGCCCGTAAAGCAGCCAAGCCCGAAGAAAAAGCTGGACTTCTGGGTCCCCCACCCCTGGAGGATGTATGTTTTCAATCTACAGCAAGCCCCAACACTGGTGAGTTTAGGGTTCAGTCAGGGCTTAGGGTTTAGTTCAGGATTCAGGGTTTGGGGTTCAGGGTTCAGGGTTTAGGGTTTGGGATTCAGGTTTCAGGGTTTAGGGTTCAGGGTTTAGGGTTTAGTGCGATTTATAACTCGATCAGACATTTCAACGGTTTAGGGTTTAGGGCTCAGGGTTTCCATGGCTCACTACGCCTGCTCTTAGCCATCCACCGTCTAAGGCTCCATGTACCTTTATAGCAGATACTTAAGCCTTAAAGTACCCATATAGGGACCCCTTTAAGGCCTAAGTATCTACTATAAAGGTACATGGAGCCTTTGGGACCGTCTCATACGGTGTTGAGCCGCTCTTTCACTGCAAGAAACCAGGGTGCAGGAGAGAGGCCCAGAATTGAATCACTCTTAGGCGGTTGCACTGAGCTGCACAACACCCTTGCAATACGGCATTGCAAGAGAATCCTTTTAACTTTTTAGCGGACTAATAATAAGGATTTTCGAGTGCGAACTTTAGTGTACTTGGGAAGCCGTACTACATGTTCATACTGTTGATGATTAATCCATTACCTTGAGGACCCTAAACTATGGGAGTTATGATATATTCTCCTTTTTTTCTGAATTCGTCGAGAGTTTCTCGAGAGCTTGGCCTAGCGCCCTGACTACGAAGCTCCAAAACCCCAAACTGCATGAAGAAGCACCCGCAGCCCCAGACTGTCGGTCGGAACAGTGAATCGAAATGTCCCCTTGTCATTTCTCTCTATGTATATGTGTATATTTTATAATTATAATTATAATTATATATATATATATATAATTGTTTTATTTATTTACATATATATATATATATGTATACACACACACACTGACATACACATACGCATGCTAGAATACACCCCCGAAGCCCTAATCGCCCCGCCGAACGGGGCCCCAATGACAGAACCTGACAGGATGAGGGCAGCGACAGCAGCGACGATTCGGATGAGGAGGCGGACGCTGCTGCAGATCGTCGCGCGCAGGCCACTGCACGGATGTTCTCGAAGCGCAGGGCTTCGGTTTAGGGTTTAGGGAGGTGTGCCTATGTAATGTAGAAGCCTAAATAATTACCCATCTTGTCCCCTAGGGTTCCTCATTATATGTTATTATAGTTATAGTCTAAAGGAGCCCAAAACCCTTTTAGGAATTATTAAGGCCCCTACATGACATGTGCACGAAGATTGTAGTGTAGGCGCAAGGTCAAGAGCGCGAAGAGAGTTTAGGATGTACCCGCACACACACACACACACACACACACACACACACACACGCCTTGACACTTCCGGTTCTTGCAGCTGCATTGTGTGCTGGAAAGTGAGAGTGCTGCTCCAGTAACCCTAAACCCTAAACCCTAAACCCTAAACCCATACTACATTTACGCACCCTGCACGGGTAAACGAGTCAGCATGTTTCGGAGTGCAGGGTATGCATTTCGGTTCGCCCTCCACTGCTCATTGCGTTTCGATGGTGTTTAGGGTTTAGGGTTTAGGGTTTTAGGGTTTAGGGTTGATTCAATGGTGGATGTGATTGACGGTTTGGTCATCTTCGACTGGAGCAATGATGCAAGGTGCCCGGATCAGCGGTGGCGGTCCTATAGGACGTCGACTCTACCTGCTCCTGCCTCCAACTTCTGCATCATACCGTGTACCCTGACCCAAACCCGTAGCCGCCTAAGCCCCCTTAGACCTTACTCTTAAACCGAACTAGTAGTACTGCTACGACCACGACGACGACGACGACGACGACTACTACTACTACTACCACTACTACTACTGCTACTACTACGACAACAGAAAAGCCGAATTATGCTACATCTTGGCTGCACAATTCAGCTTCCAGGCAAGACCCCTAAACCCAACCGTTCAAGCCGCAAGAAACGTAAACCCGAAGCCCGACCCGCCAAAATCATCATACGGTGCTCTTCAAACGCCCTTGTAAAACCCTTACAGAACCGGTGAGACTCCCATAACATCCGTTATCAGTCCGACAAAGTTTCAGCCAGGAGAAGATTCTGGACTTCACCGAACAAGATTTGGTGAACCTGCGCAGGCAAGGCAAGCCTCTTATGGTGTCGTGCTGAAGAATTGACCTCCTCGGTAGAAATGGGGAGACCCCTTTGAAGGGGACCTTTCGTAACCCTACTTATGGCTTTCTTCAAACCCTAAACCCTAAACCCTAAACCCTAAACCTTCAGCGGGACCTTATGGAGAGGGTCTACGTCCCCAAGGGTTTGCCCAATCCTAACCCCTCCGAATCAAGCGCTAAGCACAAACCGTAAGTCCTAAACCCAGCCCAACTCCAAGCCTAGCCCTAAACCCTAAACCCTAAACCCTAAACCCTAACCCCTGCCTTTAGCAGGACCAGACTTCCGACAGAATCCTTGGCTTTGGGGTGCTGAGACTTCGTGCACAGACCTACTTCCGGTTCAGGACTCGTTCTCTGCATGTCCTGAGACTGTGGAGGCCATACTCCAAACATTGGGACTGCAACATCTTAAGCATCCAGTCTGAAGAAGACCCTAAGAAACGAAGGTATGAGTAAGTAGTAGCTATATATCCTTGAATTGTCCCTATATATCCAGACTTTGTATTCTAAGGCCCTGTTCTAATCATGGAATGACTGGACTCGTTCACCCCATGCTATCAAGGATGAGGCCTGTGCAACTACGGGAGGGCACAGTTTGAGTTCAGCAGGTCCATCTACCTCGTGATCATGTCTTCGGTGCACTACGAGGCACGGACAGGGAACAGGCAAGAACCCTGAACCCTAAACCCTCAGAATGCCCCGGCCCGTCATCCGAATCCCTTCCGACGTCTGCTTTCCCTGCAAGCCTCATGCCCCTTTGCAAGCCTGCAGAGTCGAGGGCCCAAACCCGGAATCCTTCCAACTCGCCACTTCACGAAGAATCCCGAACTCGCCCCGCCCTCTCCTCCCAAGAAACAAATCCTAAAGCCGAAACTCGCCCCCTAAGAAATAAACCATACACCTAAACTCACCCCTTAAGAAACAAGCCCTAAACTGGCCCTAAACCCTCACCCTAAGAAAGACACCCTACGGCCTAAACCTTCTCAGAGGCTCGAGCAAGAAAAAGGGACCTCAAAAACCAATAACAACTCCCCTCAGAAGCTTTGAACTGTGGCACAGGAGTGCGTGCACAAGATCCTGAAGCTCAACATTGCCGAGGGTCAGGAGAAGGAGGTCGGTTCTGGCATGGAGGGGTTTAGGGCAGAGGGTTAACTAGGTTCGGGGTTTATTTAATTGGGGTCTAGGGTTCAGGGTTTAGTTTTCCGGGAGTAGGGTCCGGTTCCTTGGTGTGAGAGACTGGGTGTGTTGACAACCTCCAACTGCGTGCCATCCCCGAAATCGCACACCTACCTGAAGCCCGAAACCCTAAAGCCCTAAACCTTAAACCCCAAAAAAACACCCTAAATCCTTAACCCTTAATCCGTAAGCCCCCCCGGATTTCAGAGTGCCGAATTCTTGGGCTTGGGCTTGCCAGGGAAGGCTGGGAGAGTCTTTGCAGCGGGAAGGATCGTCTAGCACTTTCCCCAAGGTTCTGCTCCCTAAACCCTAAACCCTAAACCCTAAACCCTAAGGGCCCAATAGTCCGGTACTTACCCTAGGGCTCCAAGTATACAAATAGTACCTACTTTGGGGTCTAAAGTCTGCAAATAGTGCCTACTTTGGGCTAGTTGGAGCCCCAGGGTTAGGTTTCGGATGGTAGTTATGTAGGTTTCTATTTGGGAGAGCATATGATTATTAGGTACTTGGACCCTTTGGGATTATGTATGCTTATGCGCTGGCGCAGATCTCCGAACAGTGATAGAGCACCACGACCAAGACGACCACGACTACATGGTGTATACCACGCTGTTTGGAGACCAAGAGTACGCACTCATTGCACTTGTTAGTACAATCACTCGTGTTGCCCTTGATTTCGTTATCTTGCATTGCTGTTACTGTCTGTGCTGCTTTAATGTTGCATATCGAAGCCTTTGTTGGTTGGGTAGGTGTCCTAAACCCTAAACCCTAAACCCTAAACCCTAAACCCTAAACCCTAAACCCTAAACCCTAAGCTGACCTTCTTTCCTGGCCGGGGTTTAGGTATCGGCATCTGAGAGGAACTTTCCGGGCTCCAGAATGGAGCGGTTTAGGGTTTAGGGTTTAGGGTTTAGGGTTTAGGGTTTAGGGTTTAGGGTGGGTTGTTTATGCGACATGACAGTCGTGAGTATCTAGGGGTTGTTCTTAAACCGGCTCGGTCTTGGTGATTTTGGATAACGAGACTCCTTCTATCATGGTCTTTTCGTTTCTGAAGGGTCCATATCGCAACATCGACAAGTGCCAGGACTGTTCATAGTCTCGTGCTTAATAGCGAGATACTGATCTGGCTCGTCACTGCTCTGTTCTTCATTAAGGGTCCGAAGCCCGAAAGCCTAACCCTAAACCTTATCAGGGGTTTGCATGCTTGGCACGCGATGTGAGATTTGTGTTTCGGATCTCATGGTTGGTGGCATGTTGGTGAGGCTTGGGATCTGGGGCCGTACTGTTCAGTAACTTTACTTTCAAGATGCACCATGGACTCTGTGATCGGGCTCAATTAATTAACCCTAAACCCTGAAAACCCCGATACCGCAACTCTAAGCCCTAAACCCTGAAAGGGTTTTTAGAGTTTTTAGGGTTTAGGGTTTAGGGCAGGATTCAGGACGGTAGGCCTAGACTCCAGGCTTCCGCTGGTTTAGGGTTTAGGGTTTAGGGTTTAGGGTTTAGGGTTTAGGGTTTAGGGCTGCCAGGTCTGCACCATGCTGATTGACTGCTGTGCCATGGAGAAGATGTTCAACAGGCGATGGCCATTCAATGCAGTTCTAAGCCGAACGACGAACATGGCCAGGCAGATAGCATGGCCCTGTATAGTGCCAGAAACCCTGAAGTGAATCCAAGACCGTTAAAACTGTTAAACCCTTCTCTACTTCGTCACGCCGCAATCTAGCTTATAGCCTTACCTGGACCCCAAAAGTATATAGAATAATAGAATGTTATGGGCCTTGGGCCATTAGTTTACCTAC